AGCTGCCCCTGGTCCTCGTAGAACTTCAGCTTCTGGGGGTGAGGGGGGGCGAGGGAGACGGCCGTTATGTGGCTTCACCTCACCCTCCGAGTCCCTGCTCGCTCGCTCCCAGTTCAGTAGCTGCACCACCTTGGCGGGCTCCAGCGAGGTGATGTGCCTGGGTCCCCCGCTGAAAACCTCCCACACGGTGGCGCCAAAGCCCCACTTGTCGGCTTCCAAGCCAAGCGTCCGGGCTTCCTGCAGACACTCGGGGGCCACCCAGGGGATCCTGTCGGTGAGCACTGGAGGACGAGGGAGGGGGCGGTCATCTTCAGGACACCCCCCACCCGTGGGCGCCCTATGCGACTCTACGCATGGCTGCAGACTCAGGACGCGGTGCAGCCGCGGGAGGCTAGCCTGCACTCACTTTCTAGGCTCAGCACCGTGGGGCTGACGCCAGGGTCACTCAGTTTGATGAAAGGTGGACTCCCATCCATCCCCTCGCGAGCCAGGAGCACCTTCCGCGCTGACACGTTGCCGTGAGGGAGGCCTTTGTCCTCCTAAGTGTTACAGGCACAGGGAAGTCTGGGTAAGCGGTTGATAAATGAATATTGTTAGGCAAACTCCCGCATCCGTCAAAGCCTATCTATCGGATGCTGCCCAGATAGAACAGGCTCTGGCAACTCCCGTGGGCTCCTGGTATCTTGTAGCCCTAGTCCCCTTATGCTGACCTGAGCATACCCAGCACTTCCTTTATGTCCCCAGTGCTTTAGGGACAGTTAAAGCTCCATTGCCTAGTCAAGACTGTCCTACCTCTTCTCATTTCCCATCTGCCCCCATCAAATTGTTCCTGTCCTACTTGCCCTGAACTCTTTTTTTGTTGTTGTTGTTTTGTTTTGTGTTTTTCGAGAGAGGGCTCTTCTCTGAAGCCCTGGCTGTCCTGGAACTCGTTCTGTAGACCAGAATGGCCTTGAACTGACTGCCGGCCTCTGCCTCCCGCCTGCCTCTGCCTCCCAAGTGCTGTAACTAAAGGTGGGTGCCACCACCACCTGCCTTCTTAATGAACTCTTACTCAACCTTCAAAACCCCAAGTCTAAGGTTCACTCTTTTCACAAAGCCTTTTTCCCAGCCTGGTCTCATCAGTCACTTGACACCCGTGGGTGCACAGTTCTCACCCTTGATGCTCTCAGTCCTCTGAGACTGCCCATGTCCACTCCCTCATTCTGAGATGTCTGCTCTTTCATCCTTGCCAAGCTCCTATCCATACTACAGAGTCCACTTTCATTTCCCCTATGAACACAGGGACACTCACCAAATAGTTGAGGGCATAGGCTAGCTGCTTGATCACCTGCAGCTTCCAGCTGGCTGGCACCAGGTGGCCACGCTTGCGCAGGTACATGTCAATTGCTCCTAGGTAGACAAATTCCTGCACCATGATGCCTGGGGACGGGGGAGAGCAAGGTTGGTGGCAAGGCACAGTCATCGGCAGGCCCTTCCCCCACCCGCCCTCTGCTCTTAGCACAGACTGGACTTTGATTTACTATCAGCTCAACTGAATAGATACAACGGAGATTCAGAGAGGGTGTACAAGAGGTGCAGTGCTGCACAGCAAGTAGCCAGCAAGGGAGAAATGGAACCAAGTCTCTGGACGTGGGTCTGGGGTGTGAAGCGGGTGAATGTGGGGGTGCACCAGAGGCTCCATGCATGTCAAGCAGGTCGAGAGGGGCTAGGGCTGGGTTGGGGTGCATGCAGGGCGGGGCTCACTGTCTCCAGCCATGCAGACTCCATGCAGCAACACGAGGTGCGGGTAGGATACTTGGCTCATCAAGCTTGCAGCTTCCAGAAAGGACTGGGGAGGGGAGAGCGGAAAACACGTGGATTCCTCCCCATCCATCCCGAGTGTGAGGCTCACTAGATTTGCTGTGATGCACCCAGAGAGTGTTGGAAGTCCTGCTAGAGGCTACCTGGAGTCTCTCATGATGGGATGGGCTTGGGGAAGAGCTGAAGTCTCACACTCCCTTGATCCTGCCCTTGCAGATATATGGCCCTGTCAGTAACCGCCCCCACCTCGCCCCAGCCTCAGGACCTCTGCTCAGCTGTGTCTACAGCTGCTCTTTACCACCACGCTGAGAGTGGCTGCTCTCTGTTTTGGTTTGATGAAGTCCCTCTATGTCCCTCTGGCTTTGAACTTCTAGGTCCCAGTGACCCTCCTGCCTCAGCATCCCCCAATGCTAGGACAAAGGTCCCGATCCACGAAGGTCTGCATGGTCTTATGATCTGGTCCCTGCCACACCTCCATGCAGTTCCGGTGCCTGGCGTCCATGACCTTCAAGAGGACTTCTGTGTCGTGTGTCTCACCATCCACGGCCTCCCGCCGGCAGCCCCGGTAGATCTTGGTGAAAGAGCCGTGGCCCAGGTTCTCATGCTGCAGGAGAGACACCACAGCTGACCGATGCTCCCACCACCCCCAGAAGGGTCCCAGCCCTGGCTCACAGCTCAGGGCCCCTTACCCACTCTGGCCCCGGGGACCCTCACCCACTCCAGGCTCTCGGCAGGGATTGTGTGAAAGCTCAGCTGGGTCAGCGTGAAGCAGGGTGAGGCACGGCCGGGGTGTGGGGCAGGGGTGCAACCCCTTCTCACCACGATCAAATTGGACTTTTCTAGGGTGCAAAGGAAAAAAGCAGAGGTCAGAGGCAAAGGTTCCCAAGAGACCTCCTCCCTAGCACTAAGCTTGGGGGACCCCCAGAAGTCACTCCTGAGAAGCCCTTTGAAAGTTCTGGGCTCTGAGCAGAAGGGTCCGGGCCACAATTATCCTGTGTCACCCAGGAAAGCATTGTGGGGTGAGGAGACGCGTCCCAGCAGGGGTTTGTCTCAGTGACACTCATCCACAGGAGTGGTGGCAGAGTGAGAATGAGACTTTGCACAAATCCAGTACCTGCTGGATCAGGTCACACCCGACGACCACACCAAAAATGGAAGACCCATTCTTCCCTTCCTCCTTGTTCCCAAGCGCTGCTAGGATGGTGGGGGAGGAGAACCAGCTCACCCTTGGGTCTGGGGGTGCAGCAGAGTGTGAGGTTCAGTTCAGTCCCATCTACGTGCAGCCCAGAATGCCAGCAGGCTGCAAGGAGCTCCCGGAGGCTTCGGTGTGGCTGGCTGAGGCCAACCAGGGAAAAGGCCCCTGTGGGGTCCCGGCGGATGAGGCAGCCCTTGTAATCCGGGCCAAGGGGCGTCTGTGAAGGGAGCCCGACCTGAGGTGGGGATGGAAGCAGAGCCCCCACCCCATGCTGCCTCCAAGCCTCTGTGTATGCTGTTCCATTCAGGTGCCGGGGATGTGTCTGCTGAGCTTTGTTAAGTTTTTTTTTTTTTTTAAAGATTTTATTTATTATGTATACATCATTCTGCTTCCATGTATATCTGTACACCAGAAGAGGGCACCAGATCTCATAACAGGTGGTTGCTAGCCACCATGTGGTGGCTGGGAATTGAACTCAGGACCTCTGGAATAGCAGCCAGTGCTTTTAACCTCTGAGCCATCTCTCCAGCCCGCTTTGCTAAGTTTTTAAAATTACATTTATTTCTGTGCACATGTGGGGGTCAGGAGGCAATGTATGCTGTGGGTCCTTCCACAATTTGAGTGCCAGGGATCCGACCTGCAACCTGGGGTTTGGCAGGGAAATACCTTTTCCCTCTGAGATAACTGCCCGACAATTTTTGATGCACAGTCTCTCTATGTAGCCCAGGCTGGCCTGCAAACTTGATCCTCCTGCCTCAGCCTATTTAATTCTAGGATTGCAGGCCAGTGCTCTTCAAGGAAAAATGAATACTCCTGATTCTGTCCCAGTTCAGATGCCACCTCCTCCAGGAAGCCATCCTGGCACCAGCAGTGAACCAACCTGGACGCAGGCAGTGAGGAGAAAACTGTCATAGTCCTGAGGGCTGCGCCGGAGGATGTAGGAGCCGGGGAGGGAGCCGGAGGCCTTCAGCTTGTGGATGGCGAAGTCTGACCTAGGCCAGGACATAAGCCGAGCTGGACCGGATCAGTTCTTCACACGCCCGGCCACGCCCCCAGGTGTGTCCTCATCACTGCCCAGGACCCTGAGGTGTCTCCAAGGGCCACGACCCCAGGCCACCCGCTCCTCACGTGATGGGTCCATGGCACAGCTCGGCCACCTCCTCCAGCAGCCTTGGCGGCGCCACCTCCTTGCAGAAGAAGTGCCTGGAGTCGCAGGTCAGGCGGAAGTAACCATCTACGAGGGCCAGGAAGGACAGCGCCTCGGGCAGCCCTGGGAACTCGGCTTCCTGTGCGGGAGAGCTCTTCAGCGACGAACGGAGCCCCACACCGCCCACCCCGCTCCCAGGGTCTGCACCAAGACCCACCAGGATGTGGCTGTCCGTCCGGGTGATGGTGACCAGCCGGTGCTCCCCGGCCGGACCCACGCGCGGGGCCTGCTTGATGCTGACGTCCACGATCTCGGGAAAGTCACAGAAGGTCTGGAAGAGCTGAGGAAGACAGGACAGACGGAGGCCGGGGGTTAGTTCCCTGGGCATCAGTGCCTCGGGGCGCCTGCAGCCCTGATCCTGCCTGGCCTGTGAGCTGCCATTCCCCCTCCAAATTAACCCTGCCTATTGACTGGCCACGCCCCCGGATCGGTCCGGCGGTCCCGCCCCACTGTCCCCTTTCCTGATTGGTTCCCCCTGATTGGCCCTGTCCCATCCTGGCCTCTAACGGCTCTCGGGATTGGTCCTGCCCCTGT